TATATATATATATATATATATATAATATAATATATTAATCAATATATTATAAAGTGTGTGTATCTTACATTTGTTCTTATTCAAAATATTATTACAAGTAGTATGAATGAAAAGTTCAACATGAATCACCGATGATGCACATGGAACATGTTTTAATACACAATTTGCAACAGAAATAAATATATAACTATCTCGCAATTAATAATTAATGTACGATTAATTATTAGTTTTTTTTAATTGATAGAAATTAGCAATAAATGTATCATATTAATATGTGCAACATATATGTATCAATTAATGTGCAACATGTGCGACAACTTACGTGCACGTCGAACGTCTTGATTTCGTATTTATATCTGGCGCTTCGCAGCGACAGCGGCGCATCATAATTGAGGATCCAGTTCGCGGCGAATTCGCTTCGAAGCTGAATCGTTGACCAGCATAATGCGATCACAGCACAGAGCAGTAGCAACGTTCGCATGATGCAGCCACGAGGAAGCCGGTGTTCTCAATAACGAACACTCGTCTTTTTTCTCAGAGTCGCTGTAGCAATGTAACACACTCGTATCTCGACAGAACGTTCCTTCCTGCCAGAACGCACCCGGCACCATCCTGTTTTGATGACGCTGTACGACGGTGTATACGGGGTGTCATGGAACGAACGAATCAGCTCTTTAATGCAATATCTGTTTTGTTGCGCATTGCGCCGTCAAGATACATACATATATACGTACATATATGTATTTATATCTTCGTAAAATGGATTTGTAACGTTAACAGAAAAGATTATAGTATATACATATACATACACATACAGGGTGTCCCATTTTAAATGATCCATTCAAATATCTCAGAAACACTGCGTTAAATCGAAAAATGTTTCAGACAAAAGTTTTGTGACTTCGAGGGGGATATCAGATGATATCATTGATTTGACTTTGAGTTGTCAAGGTCAGGGTAAGGTTACTTTGAATTTTTTTAATGAAATCCCCCATTTTTCATTAGATATTTTTGTAGCTTACCTCGGGAATTTTTTAAAACTCTATAATAAAATATTTTTTGATTAAACACTTTGCGAATTATAAAACTTGAAAGTTACAGTACCGTCGACATTAGCATTGCCCAAAGTGTCCGACCGACAGCTAAAACCTCTTGAATATTGTTCAGGATCATGATCTGGATAATATTTTTCAAGATCAAGGTCATTGGAGGTAACGGACTCAATTTCATAAAATACAATTAAAAATAAACAATCATACAAGGCCCATGTGAGTCATGAGCTGATGTAGGTGCCAACGATTAAATTTAGTTTTACTTAGTCGAATGTATGGAATTCTCTTTATTTTGAACGTTTCGACTCTCTTTGGAGTCCTCCTCAGCAATACAGTAACTTAATCTATTGAGTCTACCGTTGACGTGAGTCACTAACAGATTCCCAACGGAAGTGATATAATATAGATAATATAGTGAAGATAATATATTATCGAGAGGTATAAAATTTGCATGATAATTGTGATTAATGGAAAATTCCAAAGCTTATGAATTAACTTGAGTTTTCCGGTTGAGGTGAGTTACTTTGTTAAAAATTCTTGTTTTAGTTGTAATTAATTTCATTTATGTTTAATCAGGATCCACTTCAGTTGGGAACCTGTTAATGACTCACGTCAACGGGGTAGACTCAATATTTTATTTTATTTTTAATTGTATTGGAGGTTGCTCCTTTTATTTTCATTTTTGCACTAAAAATTCATTTCTACGTAGAAATGAATGAAAACAAGAGATACAATCTCCAATGACATTGATCTTGAAAAATGTTATTCAGGTCATGATCCTGAACAACATTCAAGAGGTTTTAGCCGTTGATCGGACACCTTGGGTGATGCTAATGCTGGCGGTACTGTAACTTTCAAGTCTTATAACTCGCAAAGTATTTAATGAAAAAATATTTTATTATAGAGTTTTGAAAAATTCTCGAGGTAAGCTACAAGAATATCTAATAAAAAATGGAGGGTTCCATTAAAAAAATTCAAAGTGACCTTACTTTGACCTTAACAACGCCACCCAAGGTCAAACCAATAATATCATCTTATATCCCCCTCGAAGTCACAAAACTTTTGTCTGAAACATTTTTCGATTTAACGCAGTGTTTCTAAGAGATTTGACCGAATCCTTCGAAATGAGACATCCTGTGTGTATAAAATAATGCAACAACAATACAGCGACATAAATTCTTTATTACAAAAAATAAATTAATTCACTCTACATATACAAAAATACATTAACTAATTAATTTTAATAATACTTCTCTATATCCAGTGACGACACTGGTAAACTAATGTTTATCTATTTAAACGTACGACATCGATGTCAGAATAATTTTACAAAGATCTTCACGTAAAAAAGAGATATACATAGAGATTTATTTAATTTATATTATATTCCGCGATTCTTACAAGCCGATACGTAATTGGCCATTCTGTGAGATTGCACACAATTGCGTAATAAAATTATGTAAATTAATTGAGAGATAAAGAGAAAGAAAGAAAGAAATAGGAGGAGAATCGATTAAATTATTTCAATTGAATATTCAATTAGATGTTTCGCCAAATTTTCAATAAAAAATACGACGAATGCTTCAGATCTAATTATTTTTTAAATGTACTTTTTAAGTCAATTGAGAATAAAGATAAAATAGATTTTTGATACTCAGTCCTGCTGTCTAACGTACTAGTACTAGAAAATGTTTAATACAATCAGAATTTCGTCTAGACAAGACATGTCATATATAAAGCAAAGAACTCCGCATAAATCTTAAATTGAATTTCGATCGAATTGGCTGAAAATTTGATATGTTGTAGATCTGGTCGTCCTGATAAAAAGTCTCCACATGCATGAACTCCTATAATGAAGCGTTTCACCTCTACGAGGCGTCATTTTTCAAAACGGGATAATACTACAATATCTTATTTTCAATGAGTATGATGCATTTCTACGTTATATTTACAATTTCTGTGTATATTTTTAAGTAAAAAAAAAGTTAGAATAATATTGGCTTGATTGCTTCTTACAAAAAAGCTATAAAGATATCGAAGTCGATACTTTGATTTAAAAAATTTAAGCACATCGATTTGTGAGAGGTGAGGGGACTCACAACAATTAAGCAACCCAATTTGTGAAAAGCAAGGGGACTCACAATAATCAAACACTCTTATTTGTGAGAAGTCAATATTATTTTTATAACTTTTTACTTAAAAATATAAATAGAAAATGCAAATAATGACATAGGAATGCACCGTACTGATTGAAAATAAGACATTGTAGTATTAGCTTATTTTGAAACATGACGCCTCATAGAGGTGAAATACTTCATTATAAGAAATCGTGCGTGTGTGAAACTTTATCAGGACGATAAGATCTACAACATCAAATTTTCACCCAATTCGACCAAAATTCAATTTCCTAAGGTTTGTGCGGAGTCCTTTCTAAGAATCATACTTTGTACGATACCTATGTTTTATGCCAATATTATTTGTGCACTTCCTTGTGCACAAAATATGAATAATTACCTCATACTCGAGAATAAACGTTAACCGAGTAGAGAGATAATTTTCGCGGAAGAAAAAAAGAGAATGAGAAAAGAGAGCCAAAGATTAAATGTTTTTCTTAAAGTCTATGTTTTGATTTTCTCTCTTTATTACACTTACTTTCGTAAGAAGAAAAAAGAGAGAAAGAATGAGAGATCCAGTCTTGCTTATTATGTCATAATAATGCTCAGCGGAAACACATGACTAAAGCTTTTTCTTTTGTTCGCGAGCTTGTGTACCGTTTCGCTTTAAGTTATAGACAATTTATAAAATTACAATAGAACATCTCTATTCTGTTTTCTTTTATTATCGATCTCTTTCTGTTTTAAAACAATCGTTCCTTTGTGCCGCTTTTCCTCCACATATTTGTTGTAATCGTATGATATGGAATAAGAAAGAGAGAACGAGGCATTTCGATCCCGACGATTACTACAGAATAGAGACTCTACTGTACAATATTAATTATATTATAAAAACGATTTTTTCCTACTGACTAATAATATGCATATCATTACATTATGATTTATCAGACACTTGTACTTCAGATGTATATAGCTTTATAGCTACATTTAACAACCGCCGTTTCATCGAGATTCGAGATTGGCAAGCAAACGCGGTATAATAATTTTACTGGTATCATATGATTTACTTACGCGTACATTGGTCCCTAACATTAAAAAACTCCGCTAATATACTGTTGTACAATAATGTGCTTTAAATTAAAGACAAAGAAGGTATGTAGCCTCTGTAACTACTGCTTTATCTTAGCCGAAGGAAAGCTATATTGCATATATATTTAAAGAATACTTAGTACGTACTTCAATATTTATCTTTGTACTTCAGTGTAAGTTGCATTTGTTCCATTTTTTCTACATGTTGCTGCTCAAGCTTCTTGGCTTTCGTAGTATACTGCTCGTCGTGCGCTAGACAGCTTTGTTGTGCTTCTTCGATGGCCTTTTTATATCCCTCCTCGATACGTTTACATTCACGCAATAGAAACTCCCGATTATTCTCTGCATGACTCTAAAATTCGAACACGTTATATGTCTTTTAGAAAAAAAAATTGATAGATGTTAGTTCTTGTATACGCACCTTGTAATTATTCGCAGTCTGTTTTGCCTTCCGATATTTGTTCTTCAAATGCTTTTGTTTCTCCATCAATGTCTTGAGCTCGACATTTAATTTTTCCTCGGTGAATTTCAGCTTTTGTATCTCCTCATCTTTCTCCTTTTCCTTAGCTTTACTCTCTTTTAGTTCAGCTATCCATTTTGTCATTATTTCGGCCATGTAATTTCTATCCTCCTCAACTTGATTCTCTTTCTTTTTTAAAGCTATGGTCAATTTCTCGATATATAGCCTTCGCGCTTGAAACTCTTGGCTGTAGGTCACTACTCTGCTTCCTATAATTTGACTGATTTGATCGACCTTTATTTTCTCTTCTTTTATCTCCTTTCGCAGAGTTTCAATCTCTTGATTTTTCTCGCTGCACTGTTTTTGCAACTCTAATACAGTAGTTTTGTACTTTCCTTGCAACTCCTCTAACTCCTTTCTATTTTGCTCTCCGATTCCTCTGAGTTCTTTTGCTACTCTCTGCTCCATTTCTTCCCGTACCTCTTTCGCCATAATCTCCTTCATCTTCTGAAAGTCCGTACTATCGCCCGTACTGCGGGGAGACAGATTCAATTCCGCCGACAATTTATTTTGACTTTTGACAAATTGTTCAAATTGTTTGGCTTGATTTCGCAATTTCACCACTAGTTGATCTCTCTCGTCTTTTATCTTTTTGAAATCTTTTAATAGTCTGCTCAGTTTTTCGTCTTTACTTCGTAGATCATGTTCGAGTTGTTTTATCCTCTGTTCCAATGCCGCTGATTCGTTCATATGTCCTTCTTTCGAATTACTTAGCCTGGATAATTGTGCGACTGAATCTTTGTAATGAGAGGATTCTTTCTCCAACTCACTCTTCGAGTTTAATGTACTTTCACCATTTTTCCGCAATCTTCCCTCAAAGTTATTAACTTTTTTTCTCTCATT